GCTAGTAAGGGAAAAACACAAAGGCAAAACTGAGGCAGTAAAGCCTTACAATGCCTCCACTGATTTCTCCACTGGCCCTTCCTCTGCACATGGTCAATTAGAATTGAAAATCCTGTGCTGATTTCATTCGCTGGAATTTTTAAGCAGGTCAGGAAGAAAGATGTTATTGAAAGGAAAAGTCTCATCTAAATAAGAAAGGAACACGTGGCCATCTGGTCTTAGCTATACATATAAAAAGTTATTTCAGCTGAACTGCAGGCTTGATGTTTAAAAAGATGTGCCAAAACTCAACCCAAAATCTGTTTACGGTAAAATATCCCAAATGTTTCTTTTTCAACCTCCAAATATGCAATACACAGTTCATTTCCTATCTGTGATTCATGAGCCCGTCTGACCCCAGCGCCTCACTGAGCTTGACTGAGTTTCAGGCAGGGGAACATTCAATCACTCTTAGAACACTACTCCTTAATGGGATAGCAACAGGACCGTGGGTCTTTTGAAAATTGTGAAAATAACTCAGATAGTTTTCACTCAAATTAATTTTGAGTTCTGTCTGCATGTAGGCTTGAAAGAATAAAAGCTGAGACATCAAGCAACCAAACCAATTTTCCTTCTTTTCTCATTGTGACTTGAGGTTCCTGTGCATTCTCTGTGCAGTGCTAGGGCATCTACTAAAAATAATTTCAGGTCTCAAGCGTAAAGGCAAGTTTTTTTTTTTTTTTTTTTAAACCCAATCTGTCCTTTCATGAAGAGAAATTAGGAGTGTCAGCCAACTTTTAGAAGTCATCTTCCTAATGTCAAGAAACAAAGTTTTTCTTAAAAATAGCGTTTTATACTGTTTGCCACATTAGAGTCATATCTTTTGAAATGATTAAAATATGTTTTGATATGAGGCATTTGCAATAATTACATCAATACATCAATTTAGCCATTATCTGAGTATGTCCCCCTGCTAGCATAGACATAGCTATGTGGACCTCCCCATCAAAATTACATTCTGTTAAAATATGTTACTATTCTAACTCAAGATTAAAAAAAAAAAAAAAAAAAAACTTTGCTTATAGTAAAATACCAACACATATTTTTCATCATAAAACTACATTCAAATATATTTTATATATACCCAATCTATACACATGTGCAAGAACACATGATTATTATATCAAATAAGCAAGCAAGAGTATAGGTTTTCACTAAAGTCTTCAGATAAATAATTGAATTAAGGATATTCTAACCTGTGAAACAAGAGTCTTGACATATCTCTGACATGAGATATCATTGGTTGTTTTTGTATATTTACTGTTTGTTCTGCCATTTCAAATAAATCATTACTATTGTGTAAGAAGAATAAACTGTACTATAGTAAATTGTTCTTTCTCCTTTATGCTCTGAAAAACCATTTGTTCTTGAATTGGCGTTACGTAGTTCAACTATTTCAATCAAGTCCATTATCTTCTATTCTTTGAAAGATGCCTTTTTAGTAACCTGTATCCCCAGTGGGCAATGTCATGTTTTGTTTTTAGAAAGTAGGTGAAATTTAAATCCAACAACTACTTTTTCATTTTTTTTATGTTTGACAAAACAATTATATAATTCATCCTCAGGCAAAAATTCCAGTATATGCTGGAAGAACTATTTATGTAAAAATTATGGAGTCAAGCCCAAAAATTTCTCAAAAAAGTTATTAGTTCGCACTGGAGTCTTACCCCACAGAATGTCACCTAACTTGTGTAGCTTGTTTTTTCTAAGTACAAAATGTGTCTGTTCTTTGAGCTATATGCTTTTCTCAACAAAAGTAACACAAAAGAAAAACAGAACAAAACATTTTTTCTCGTTTTAAAACAGTCATACAATAAATGCCTCAGTAAAATCAATCTCATTATTTTGTATGTTGGTGTATAAATCGTGCTGTTCATATACGTATGTGTTGCAAATCCTTTCAGAATTAATCCTTTTCTAAGTATGCAAGAAAGAAGTATTCAGAGCAAATTGCAAAATTCAAAAAAATAATGTATCAAATACTTGGTATATAAGAACTGGTAAGTATACCTGGCTGTTCTATATTAATGAAGAGTAAATTACAAATCAAAACTTAGTAATTAAGAGACATTATGTATGTACGGTTGCTCTATATTTATGTCTCAGATATGGCAATCTGTTCCCATAAAATTATTAAGCTTTGTTCTATTTGAGTTAAGTGAAATAAAACAGTACACTTAAATACACACATTATTAAAAATCTAGACTACTTGTTTGGTGGACAACTGTTTAGTGTAACACCCACAAAATAAACTTGAAAATAAATACAAACACTGCACCAGCCCATAAAATTTTAACCCAATTATCCTCTAACCCAGAGCACATGAAATGAGCATTACTTTTAAGTCATTTATATATATTCTTTCTTTAACCAGTAAGTTAAGAGTGAAATGATTTAATGTTTACAAAAATGTAAATGCCAAATAAGAATCACCAAGTCATAACACCTTTCAGTACTGTAGCATTTTTATCCACGTGATTGCAAAATGTTCACCGTTTCTAAATCCTATTCATAGCATAGAAATTCAGCCACCTCTAAAATGTTCAACCAGCATCTTAGTAAGGCTTCCTAGAACCAGAAACTCTGCCTGACTACAGATACCTTGATAAACATGTCCATACTGCCCCATAAACACATCTTCAAGAGAGAGATAGCTACAAATAAAATAGTCCTTTCCTGTGGGTGTTGGTTAATCCCACAAACATGTGAACTTCCTATGGGCACACACCCAACAGACGTTGGAGATTAGGTGATTGCAAATGTTGCCCACAAAGGCAAAATTTTATATGTGATGACATCACCACCAAACCAGGGTTTCTCTGTGATATAATGATATAATTGCCTGGCTGAATGTGTCTCTTGAGTGTGTGTGTGTGTGTGTGTGTGTGCGTGTGTGTGTGTGTTTGAGAGAGAGAGAGAGAGAGAGAGAGAGAGAGAGACGGTTAAAGAACAGCATCATCAGAAACGCTATAACCTTCTGCAAGCTTTGCAAGAATCTTTCCACAGACCTTTGACTTTTTCCAGATTTCACACAGCTTAAGTTCATTCAAAAATGCATTTCCCGCACGAGTAAATTGTGTTTTGTTTCCTTAGCACACTGTTCATCCTAAAATATGCCCCCGATGGGTCTGTAGGGATGAGATTTCTATACCCAGTGAGGCATGTGTAGCTATATGATATGATGCAGGAGTTGCAGGGTCCCTTGAGCCCTGCATTTGAACGGAGAAGACGTCTTGGTTTGAAAGGTAATGAAAGGGTTAAAAATTGAGGCTGTCTGGGGTAAAAGAAAGGGGATATTGTTGTCTTTAATCTTTCCGCAGTATGTGTAAGACTTCCATCCCGGATCTGCACATAGCAGTGGAATAGGCTGGGCATGCATTGCGTGCAAGCTCCTTGATTGTAGAGGGGGGAAAAAAACCTGGCTGGAGTCCAGACAGGCTGGAGCTCTGTTGATCATTATGTCTAGCCTTCAGGTGTCTCAGCACACAGTGGGCGGCGATGGGGGAGGTGTAGATAACATGAGAGCAGACAAAGAAAAAAAAATGGTGTATTTTAAAAAGATTATGCGAAAATTTGTGTCCAAGTCCTCTTTAAAAAATGAATCCTACCGTCTTGGACTTTTATAATTAGAACACAAACCCTGCTCTGGCAGATCTCTTTAAGCCATAATTAGTTATGTCTGGAGCCTTTGAATAATTCCTTTCAATAATTGATGGAGTTGATACTCTCTTTTAAAAATAAGGAGGGCAATGTTTTCTTACAAACTCTCTTTTTGTTGGAGGCTTTGTCGTTCAAAATCTTTATCAGTCACAATCACATCGATTTGATTTGCCTTTTAATTTCTTATGAGACTTAGCCTATAACTTTTTAAGAATTTGGATGATTCTAGAAGTAAAGGAATAATGCATTGCTAGGTTAGCCTAGCTCAATGTAAAAAGAAAGCAATAATACAGGATCATTCTTCCCCCATTTGTTTCCAATTATTTTATAAATTAAAAAAAAAAAAAACTGGCTTGTATGTCGCTTCTGTTTGAAACTCCATCAAAAAACCTTACCAAGCATGTAAGTTAGATGCTCAGTGTATCTTTTGCCTTCTAGTAAGAAGAAATCCCAAATTCTTTTATTCTTCAAGCATTCTATAAAGAAGCTTCCGCATGCTTCTTCCCCACCCCCACATCCTCACTCCACCCTATTAGGAATTAAAAAAAAAAAAAAAATCTTTATACATGGAAGGCTGGATCCTGATACAGAAAGCTGTCTTTTCCTTCTCTCTTTACACTGCCCACTTTATACCCAGTCACCTTTCACTTCTGCTGGGACTTTATTTCACATTTTGTGGACGAAAACACCGAAACCAGCTCCGTTTCTATCATTCTGATGAAATGAAAAGTGGTGGTTTAAAAAATAAATAAAAAGAAAGCTCTGGCTTGAAGCCATTGTTCAGAATTTAAGAGCGACTTGCCCCCAAGTGTCTTAGCAGTCTTTCATAGCTAATTATAATAACTGTCAGATGTCTGGAAAGTCTATGGTACCCTTGTCAGTGGAGTCAGCAAAGTTTGTCTTTTATTTTTCTTGGGGACAGATCAGATCTGATTAGACATAAAGAACGAGAAGAAGTGAACTAAGTACCTATGAGTGTGCCTTCATTTTTTTCTTATGAACAAAGCAGCCTACAGGAGCAAGGTTCCGGGGTGCAGCCCTCCTGCAGCTACTCTTTGGAATGCCTGACTTTTATTTTTAATTCTTTAACATAACAAAGCATGCAACAATTGTCCCCGAACCATCTTCCTGCCTGCCGGAGACCTTTTCCTACACATTTAAAAGAAGTGCCCTTAAAAAAAAAAAAAAAAAAAAAAAAAAAAAAAATTAAAATTAAAAAAAAAAAATCTCCAAATCGTTGATGCTTATGACATAAAACTATTTTCATCGGCACCCTGGACGGAAAGAAATGTATACTCACAATTTCAAAACGGTTATTTGTGCTAGTTCCTCGTCCCCGGAGGCTTTTGCCAGACTGTCCCTGACGCAGGTGCAGAATCCCCCGTTTTCCTGAAGGAGGGAGGTGGGAAAGGGCTTCATAAAGTCACGCGGAACTCAGCCACTTGTGCTCAGGCATCCCTTGCTCCTGTGAAAGCTGTACTATCTGCAGTTCTGAATTGAACTAAATTACAGCCCATGTGAAAGACAGGGGCAGCGAGTCACGTGGGACATCCACCGCCATCCGATTGGCCGCCGGGACAGAGCTCAGGCATTCTGCCTTTTCCACCATTGGTGGATAGTTAAAACTGAAAGCGTCGAGAGCCTCCTCGTGAGCTTATTTGTCCTTTATGTGTGGAAGAATGACTGTAGGATTTTACAGTGACAGAATTAGTTAAGAAAGGGACTGAAGTCATCCTTCACGGAGACCAGTGGGAGGAGATTGGAAGCTCGGCTTTTTCAAGATTTTTTTTTTTTTTTTCCTTTTGATCCCCCTGCCCTGCAGTTCTGTCTGTGATTTGCCTGGTTTGCCTGTCAGAAAAACGTGTTTGTTTACTTGTTTGTTTTCCCGGTTAACTTTGGAGGTGACAGAAAGTAAATTATCATCTCATTCCTTTGTGGAACTCAATCGTGTTTAGAAGTACAAAATCGTTTTTGGGTTTTTTTTGTTTTTTTTTTTGTTTTTTGTTTTTTCCAGTGATGAAGTCACAGATTTTATTTTGAAAATGAAGCTTTATTGCAGTTCTCAATTAGCAGGCTGAATTAGTCAATCGTGACACAGAAATAGAATTAACTTTTTTTTGAGTAGCTATTCGGTTTTGGAGAAAGCAGAGGGGGAAATAACGCTGGAAAACATGAAAAGGCAACAATGTCAAGGAAATCAAAGAAAGGGCTTCAGCGAAGCAGGGATGAAGAGGAAGTATAATTTTTTCAAAGTCCTTTTTTAATTTGCCTCTTCTGGTAAATGCAAAAATTTCATAAAACTGGCAGCCAGAAGTTATCGTTCAGCTATTTCAGGATGACTTCATTCGCCTGATTTCTAAAAATCTCTGGTGAACACCTATGATTTAGATGTACAAGTTATCTTAGAGATCATCAAATCCCATGTTTCCAGCATTGAAAATGGGGAAGGTAGACTCTGGTAAATAAGAACTCTATTCATTTATACTGATCCACAGAGTTACGCAAAATAAATGAAGGGATTTTTAAGTGAGTAGTAGTTTGCTCTTTCTTGTTGTGTACCTGCTAACACCTCGCCGGTCTTGTGTAATTTAATCGTTGTAACAACCCATAGAGTCCACTGTACTACTTTTGTTTCTTGTGGGCAAAACGGATAATTTACTACCATGGTTTTAACCCATACATGACTGAGGGCATGTCCATCTTTTTCAACCAGATATGTTGTCTTCTAAAATAATAATGGTTATCACTAAGACAGGTACCTTCTTATGGTGGATGCCAAGTAATGTGCACTTCACATCATCTTGTTTAATCTTCACAACTACTAATAAATTAGTTATTCTGTTATCCCTGTTTTGTAGATGAGAAAATGGGGCTGATACTACCCAGTGCCATGGAGTTGGTAGTTGATGGTACTTGATTCAAACCAACACTCATCCATTTTACACACCATATGCATTCTCGTCATGGTGCCGAATAAGGTGTTTCTTTCTTTTCTTTCTTTCTTTCTTCCTTCCTTCCTTCCTTTCTTTCTTTCTTTCTTTCTTTCTTTCTTTCTTTCTTTCTTTCTTTCTCTTCCTTCCTTCCTTCCTTCCTTCCTTCCTTCCTTCCTTCCTTCCTTCCTTTCTTTCTTCCTTTCTTTCTTTCTTTCCAGTACAATATATTTAAACATTTCAGCATAAATAGAGAATATCCACTTCAGTCATGTCAGTGTGTTTGGTTCAGACCCAGACCATAGCATTAAAAGTGACCCACATGTGACTATAAACAGGCATTAGAGTAACAGGCATGGAGCCATATTTTTCTCTGGGCCCCACAAGAGCCCCTGCACAGAATCTTGAAACAATAGAAGCTTCCATATTTGTTAAAGGAATGCGCTTTTCCCAGAACATTAGTCTGGGGCTTAAGGAGCCCTATGACTGGTTCAGAGCTTGAAGCCCATGGAATAATAGGATCAGACAAGTCATGGATCCTTTCCAAAATGGCATCAAAAATTCCATTTCTGTTAGGGAAATATCAAGAGCCCTCATGGAGTTTCTTGGATGTGTCCCTCCTGCAGCCTAAATCATACAAATTAAAGGGAACTCCCATTCACTCCTTCTACCTCTGTGTGGTCTTTTTGTAGACTAGAGGTAATTTCTGAAGGAAATACGAATGCATCTTCATCACCAATCCAATCTAAAGTACACACTGCTATCTCTTAGAGTATATTGTAGCTAGGATAGGCTAAACAGATCCAAAGTAGAATTAGAAGATACTTTTTAGTCCTCCCCTTTTTTGAATATTTCTCCTTCATTGAGTGGTGCTTAGTTTCCCCTAAATTGTCATCACCCCATGCTGTCCAGAATTTTTCCAGTTCTGCCTTCTCATACAATACCCATGTGATGGTATTATGTTATCCTATTTTCATTAAATTTCTGTACTAGAGTGTCAATATTTCAAGGACTGAATTGTATTTCACTATTTTTAATCCCTCATAATGCCTTTCATAAGAAGAGATGAGATTAATTTTTGCTGAATTTTTTTCCCATCTTGCAAAGACCTATTCACTAGTAGCCAACAGATCACAAAAAATCTGGTAGATAATGTCAGCATATTAGAAAGAATATTTTAAAATAGAATCCAAACAAATGAATCAGACACTGGAGGACAAGTGGGGAAATTACTGTGAGACCAAAGATTCCCCCCAATATTGGTGTAAGTTAATCATATAGGACACTTACACTGACCAAACTAATGGTCACAGGATTGGCACACATTTATGTAACTCCTCCCTGTTGTCACCTACCAACTTTTTCTTCAGTTCTTTTCATCCACTGGACACCAGGCATCTGGGTCTCAGATTTCCCCTTCATCTCTAGTTCTGCCATCACCCTGGTTTAGTTCAATGCTCACAAGGGCAATCCACTCAACACTCTTTACTGGTATCAGTTCTGATGATGTGGCCTCCTCCAGTCCTACCACAATCACTTGCACCCAAAGTGTACATTGGAAAAGTTTTCTGTGAATATTGTAAAGTCAGGTCACCTACTTTCCATCTACCATTTTCAACCCTTCCACCTCTATTATCATACCTCTTTTTCAACATTTTTGATACTTCAGTTCTTTGGCTCCTCCATTGTCTCCTCATTCATGTTCCATTCTTTTTCCTTTCATACTTCCTGCCCTATTAGAGCCCATATTTCAGGATGTCATACAGCCTCTAGTCAAGACATGTACCTTTTTTGATCTGTTTTCTTTCTGATGTCCCATCAGTCTCACCAGGCAAAATCCAATTTGGGATTCGTCCAACTGAAAATCTCCTCTAGGGTATTCTGGGCTTCTAAGAGTGGGTAGCTAAACATTGAATTTGTCTATAAAAGATGTTACTATAAGCTCATAGTCTCCAAATTTGACTAGTTACTCAATGGTGTATAAAACTGTTTACCCACTTAGTTTTTTCTCATTTTTCACATTATCCATTTTTTTTCTCTCTACTCTGTTGTTCTCTCTAGACTGCATTGCCTTCCCATTCTCAGCGGCAAACCAACAAACTTGCCAAAATGTAGATTCATCCTTTTCTAATTCCTTCCCATTACAATTGAAAAATTTTTCAACCTGTCTAAGGTAAATCAATTACAGAGTGCATAGATGATAACTTTTGCCTTTTCAGAAAATTCTTCTTAGATGTTTCTATCTTTCTCAAATTGTCAGCAGCTCCTTGCCTACAAAGTCTTATTAGCATTTTAAGAATCTCAAGTTTCTTCAATATTTAAAAATTCCTGCCTTTGATAATTTTGTGACATTCACTATTTCTACTTTCTTTTCTCTCATTTCTCTACCTGTTATAATCTGGCTTGTGTCCTTGCCATCCTTTTTTAAATTAATTAATTTATTTTTAGCAAGACCACCAAATGCCTTTGTGTTACTTAATCTCATGAACAATTTTCAGTCCTTTTAATACTTGTGTTCTCTAAAATATTTAGGCATTTTATCACTTTCTCATTCTTGGAGTGTTCTTTCCTTTTGGCTTCATTTATTCCTGGGTTCTTTCTCTTTCTTATGCCTCTCATTCTCTTCTATAAAAACTGGTTTTTCTCTTCTTATTTCTAATATACTTGTATTTTTCAGATTCCTTCTCAGACCCTATTCTCTTCTCACTCAACAGATTTTAAGTCACCTTTTTTGAGTTCAATGACAACTTAACACAGATGATTTCTCTCTGAAACCCTGGCCTTTTTCCTGAGCACCGGAACTGTAGATCCCACTGTACCTTTCCCATTGGATGACTTACTGATACCTCAACCCAATACATACAACACTGAAGTCATCATCTCTTCCTCTAATCTGTGCATCTTTCATTGTTGCCTGTCTCACTGAAGAGTACACCAGGGACTGAAGACAGAACACTTGGACCTGATACTTAAATCTTCCTTCCCTTTACTGGGCTTTCATACCCAATTAATTGTCATGCCCATGGAGATCATGAATCTGTCCATTTCACTCCATCTCATTCCTGGTTTATATGCCTCAGTGTGCGCAACAGTTCAAGTTAGGGGTCTCCTTTATCTCCAGTCTTGCTAACCCCTACTCTACCACCTTCACTGCTGCAATGATCCTCTCTCAAACCTGCAGCCAAACGGGTCTTCTAAAGGGAAGCTGATTCTTTCACTCCTCCACTTAAAACCCTTGAGTGACCTCTATTGTCCATAAGGCAAAACCTAAAAGGCATTTAGTTTCCTGCTTTTATAATCTCATGTCTTATCTAGAAAAATGCATGGAAATGTTTATTCTATTTCATAATTTATAAATGGTATTATATGTTACATGGAATTAAGCCTCTTAAACTTGGCCTCCCAAGCCCTTGA